ATACATACATAGTATTATATATATATATATATATATATACATAATCATACATCATGCATTTTTAAACAAAAAATAAAAATATTAGTGTATTCCTAAATTTCAGTAACGTTTTGCTGGAACTTTACAGACAATATGTCCTTAAAACAACAATAAATACATGTTCAACCTCATTATTCTCAATTTTATTTCAATAATTACTTGCTTGTTGACTCGTAGTAATAAAAAGCAATACGCTAATATACTAGAAAAGAAATTAGTCAGATGTATATTTAAGAATAATATGGAATTATCCTTGCATTTTGCAAGTAAATACGAAATGTCCATTTCTCTAATGTTCAAGTCGAGAAAGAGAGAAAGAGTACTTTGTACCATTTTATTCTATTTCACTCTATGCTCCGTCAAAACATTCCTTATAGACAAGATACATTTATACACGTTACACAAAGAACGAGATGGAGTAATCCTTTGAAAAAAATCGGCACCTCTGACACTTTTCGATTATCATGATTTGTTATTCATAACGTACCGTGGGGATCCCTACTGGGGTGGTACGCAGAAATGAACCATCTTATTTTCCTTCAATATTAGATCGTATCGTTATCGGCGGGAAAGTCTACTACGGATATAGCGCCTCTGGCAACGAGTTATCATTCCTACCATTTTCTTTCGCCGGAGCGCGTTGCCGAAGCAGTCAGAGCGCTGTGAAATGTTTTATTTCCCATGACAGCTGTTTCGACCCCTTCGATAGAGCAAACGAGCTGCTACTTTCAACATATCTCTAGGCTTCCGTACGAACATTCTCTTTGACTGTCACACGCACGCGTTGATTTTCCAATCTGATATAACCAACTGCGAGTGCTTCATAGGCGGCTTTGCTTCCGTGTGACTTCACTGGCAAGCCGCAGGATCGAAACGTGAGCAAGCAAACCGGCGGCCCCGTTGCCATCCGCTTTCGGATGCTTTGGCTTACTGGCGTAAAGCTTTGCAATTCGCAAGTCCTAATTGAGGTCGAATGAGTTGTTTCGACTTACGGCTTTGCGCGGTGCTCGCGTTGCTCACGTTAATGAGTCTGCACGTCCGGTTATTTCCACATATTGATTTTGTGCTGTGGCTAATTGTGCCACGTGTAAACGGATATCCGTGCAAAATTACCTTTCGAAAAGGCGCCAACCTCACACGCTGCCTCACACGAATAGAACCATGTGTTGAGAGAAATATTGCTGTAAAAATATATTTCATTAATTTCGTCTCGTATATATAATTCCTACGTGTGAATGAATCTCTGACGGAACACGGACAACAGCGATTTATTTCATCTCGTACGATATGCTATAATTCAACTGTGAAAAGATTATTAGAGCGTAATTGCGATAGAAATGGATGGAGTGAGAAATGGACGAGAAAACCACGTGCATCACGTCAGGCTGTCATATGCGGGTATTAATAAATTGATTATCAAAATCTTCATCAAATGTGCGACTTGCAAAACTTATCGATATTGTACGGCGCTGTCGCCGGAAAAATCAGTAAACAATGCCATCCATCTTTATAAATTTAATATATCGAGCGGCTCCATCACGAAATGTGTTCTCAATTTTTTTCATGTATATATCGCTCGTCAATTTGTTTAATGTATTCCTGCTCAGGTGCGCATCGTGCAGACGTAACGATATTTGATCAACGTCGATACGTTTTACGTGCAATGCTGCGCATTTCGATAATCAAGCGTGAGTTCTAATAGTGTGCACGTCCGTTGGCTCAGCCATGTAATTTAACGTCACATGGTATCCCGTAGGTGCAATCATGAGTGATATCAAGGTTTGAACAATGCCTGTATATTAGTTTGACCAGTCAAATTGGTCATACTTGTCAAACAAATTTGTCATATTTGTCCAGTTTCGAATTATCGATAATCTTTACGCATAAAGCCACGAAAACAACATCAACCGATATTTTTTCAGATATCTAACGAGGTCTGCCTATTCTATTTGTAATGTTTTTATTTTTAACAAATCAGTAAAACCTTTTGCAAGCTAAAATTTCACAGACAAACGACAAATCCCTTGTGCCAATCCAATATTTTCAACATTCATGATTTTTCTGCTATAAAATTTAACAAAAAGGAAAACGATGAAAAGTTCGATAAAATCGTAGCGTCGTCCTTGCGCCTAAAATTCAAAGTAACGGGAGTAAATTATTCCTTTGAAGTTTATTTGGATTTCAGCATCGCGGCCGATCGATCGAACCTTTGAAGCGTGTGAATATAAGTACAACAAAGAGAAAAAAGGAAACAAGCGCTAAATTCTTTATGACGCGAGAGCTATTGTTCGAGTTTGTTAATTCCCCGGTACAATTAAAGCGCACTGAAAGGAACGCCAGTATGTAACTACGAACTTTTGGATTACACTAAAACGTACTTTGTGGTACATTTTTACAGACAATATCAGTCGATTCCTGGTCGTTTCGAAAAGAGTAGGCACGCTGTTCGTGCCAATTCCCGCGCACAGATGCGTGTAATACGATTTCGTCCATGCTGTAAATAATCTTATCGGTGGCCGAGCAGGTGCAAGCAAGTGCCAACGGGGTATGTACGGTCGAATCGTCTCTCTCTCCTTCCCTTCCCTTCCCCTATCCCTCTCTCACTCGTCTAATTCCGCAGAAATCCATTTACCATGTACGAGTTGTACGAAATTATCGAACGCGACCGTGAGCAAAGTTATGGCTTGTTTATCACCGTTTGCTTAATTTGGCGGAGTTCTTTCGTGCGATATTAATTTTTACATCAGCTCGTATCACTATGAATTTTGTATTACGCGCGTTCATCTATGACTTTATATCAACACGAGCTTGTATTTTCTGTGGAGTCCTGTCGCGTCATATTTCGTAATTTCCCGTTTTTTGCACAATCGCAATGCATTTCTTGTACTTGACGCTGTGTCATGTCAGACATCACTTTGTGTCATTTCCGTCTCTTAAACAGCGACGTATACTACATTTTCTTTCATTTTGAAAGTCATTGCCGATGAGTTTGCAGATTTTCGCGGCGTGTCTAGCTCCGTTACTCTCGCGTCGTTATCTGTTTCGCTCAGTTTACCGCTAATATCAAATTATGCGTTCAACAGCCCATTATTCGCCGTATTATAGTCAATTTATTTTTATGTATAGATAAAAAAATGTTACACCGCATCCCGAGTGGAAGCCAATTATTGTCTCGCATATATTCGCTGTATAGTCGAGAGCGAAAGAGAGATTTCTCTATTTACTTTTTCTAGTTACTTTAAGTTAATTTTTCTAGTTAATTCTAACCACTTCTTCTTTAGTGACGTTAGTAACTCACCTAACTGTCATTTTTGAAAATCACTGCTCACAAATTTACGCGATAATCGGTATGGCAGAAGTTTCAATGACAGTACGAGGTGTCAAAGTATTTTTTATCAAGTCAAGAAAACGTGTTAACATGTCCGAGAGTATTCTGAGAGTTAAACCGTTGTAACAATAGTGTTCGAGAAATTGAAGACTCTTGTACTTCAAATATAAGAAACATCCGACGGCACGACCTCTAAACTAAAAATTTATGGAAAGGTATAAGTATAAAAGAGCAATGCGAGAGAGAGAGCTGTCATATTACTTTTATACTAGATAAAATTGACACGTATTGTTGTTTCGGCTATCTCCATAGCCGATTATCGTGCAAGTAAACAGTGACTCTCAAATGTGACTACTAGATGTATTACTAATTTCACCAAAAAAGAGGTATTCCAACTCATTTTTATCCTCAACTGTACGCAACCGCAGCTAGTTGTTATTATTCTCTTCTTTATTTGTTTTTATTTTAGTAGGACGTAACAATGATAAAAAATATACATTTCCGTGTAGTTTATTGCGTTTATTCGCCGTGCTTAAAATAGATGGTTCTCCTTGTCTGGGAGGCATCGCGGTAATGAACAGTTAATTACGGCTGAATCTACGGGTCTTACCGACAGAATCTTAAATGACTCAATTTCCCCTGCCACCAATCTCGCCATACGTGACCCTGTAATCAAATCTGTTGTCCATTAAGAGTCGCATCACATCGTGGCGCTATTGCAGCGGCGGCCATTACTACAAACAACGCGATAAGGTCAGGATTTCGTGTCCATTATTACTACAGAATTTGCATATTGACTCTGTTACAATTGCTGCACGCGTTCATGCACAGCTGTAACACAAATACCGCGGATTAATATTGTCTATCTTACTATCGCGATGTAATAATAGAGAAAAGTGCTTTTTTGTGAACTCTCAAACATTTCTCTTCAAGTCTCAGATTACAATTCTAATCATAATAATTATGTATAATTTAATTGTAATTACATGGCAACATAAAGAAATAGTTATATAACAAGGAAACAAGGGACGAAGTTACGTAATGAAAAGCAACAGCGATATATTCAACAAAGTGCGCTAATACACGCCTAGGGAACATTAATGGTTAAAGTTAGTTTAAGCCCTTTACTTGATCCAAGTATTCCGTGTCAATAGCTATTACAAATTTAGCCAGTCATTATCAGCGGGTAACGGTGGATCGCGAATTAAAGCAAATAATGTTTCATCTATCCCGAAAATGGGAATTTCATGGCAAGAAATGTTGGCGCGCTTCGAAAGAAAGTTCTCCGTTATATAACGCTGAGATCATCGGTAACACATTGAGCTCGCGAATGGACACGCAAGTAACGACCGTTCTGGAACGTAGAGGCTCGTTGGTTATTAAGTTACTCTTAGCTTAATGCTCGTTTCACAGGAGTATGCTTACAACACGCGCATTAACCTTGCAATGCACTTAACATAATCTAACGTAAACCGCGAGTGTCATCTCGAACGCTGTCGATTTTACGAAGGATCATCTTTTAGTACGTTCCATCGATTATGCCATTTTGTACATTTTCTTGAATTTATCGTATACTCTTTCGTCTTACGTACAACACCTCGTAATGATAAAGTATTTAATTAATTATTTACAGTGATGGAGATTATCGCAAGATTATCGTGGAGATAAAGAGTGGTTACACACAGAAAAATACATACTGCATTCAAGTAAGTATTATTTGTTTCAAGTATTTCGTAAGAGAGTTTATATATCCACAAAACTATTATAAACTGTTATAAGTTCATTATAAACGTCAAATTTATTCAAAATACATTCTGAACTTTAATAAGTTTAGCATTTTAATGAAGAATATTAAATTAAGACAATAATTCAGTTTACTTACTACATAGAATAACTTTTCCTTCGACGAAGTTTTATATTATTTTTGTTAAGTGAATAAAAAAAATCTTTCCAGTACATGATAGTGAGTTTTCCTCAAATTTGTGATACCTACATTTGAAAACTATTATCGAGAAAATATTCTATATCAAAGAAAACCATTACTTAAAAAAAAGTAAGTAAATAGTAACCCTTTTCTCAACAGTAAAATATTTTCCTTTGTGTAATCTGACTGAAATTACTCATTTCCGTCGTTAATTACTATCACTACTATTATATCAATAAAGAAAGTAAAAAGAGCAACGTATATAATATTGTTATCACTAATCTATAGCAGCACTTAGTACAAAGATGTTTCTTCGGACTTTAATTGCCACGCAATTATAATCAAAGGACCAAGTACTTTTCTTTTGGAGTTTACAGAGTTTCGATTAAATAGGTTCAATATACACTCGTCAACAAAATTAGTGCATAGGTAAATTTATGTCGAAATTTCACACAATTTTAAATAGGCATAATATCGCGAAACATTATCATATTTGAAATCTTCTCTTTTTATTTTAAAGAGTGAAGTCTGTAGTTTAAGGAGCAATCGTCCGATTTTGAATCTACTCTCTCCCCTTCCCGCAGTCTTTTCAAAAGTAAAGATATGTTGCGTCTCTAAAAAATTGCACAATTTGACGTATCGCATAGGTAACTTTGATATGTCGCAACTCCGTGAAAAAAATCGTACAAATCCACTTTTTCTTTTAAATTGCAGGGGAAAGTCTATGCTTTTACAATGGTTATCATAAAATTTACGAAAAAAAATTTAATTCGCCCCGTAGGATACCTCAAATTGTGCAATTTTTTGGAGACGCAACACGTCTTTACTTTTGAAAATACTGCGGGAAGAGGAGAGAGTAAATTCAAAACCGGACAAATGCTCCTTAAACTATAGACTTCACTTTTTAAAATAAAAAAGGAAGATTTCAAATGCAATAATATTTCGCGGTACTAGGCCAATTTAAAATTGTACGAAATTTCGATATGAATTTCCCTATGCGATAATTTTGTTAATGAATATAAAATTAATCGAAAATCAGTGTCATCAGCGAGAATGAATAATCTACGTTATTCATATCGACATTTTCCCCGTGGGCCCACAGAAGATCAATACAGTATCTGAACGCGTTATAGGAAAAATGGGCAATAATTCACGAGGAACAGTATTGTTCGTGTTGAACAAGCAATTTGCCGAAATGACATTTTCGGGCAAATGAACAGCGCGACGCGGATTAGATCCACCACGCTGGTACAAGCAATATAATGAAAATTTCTGTAACCAACGTCTGGCTGTAATTAAATGCCAGGTCATGCGAACCGCGTCCGCCGACCAATTTTATGCTTCGTCGAAAAATCGATATTCGTTAAAGATCACACGCGACCACGAAGAAACCCGACTTACCGACTTTCTATACAGAAACTTGAATATTGCATGGCTATATACGTGATTTAAATTTCGTGATGTCGAAAACATCTTCTTTCTTTTTTTTTTTGTTTTACGCAAAGAAGCACACACATAAGATCAGCACATTGTATAAGATCGCGTCGGAGTTTACGACTGCGGCCGCTGGCACGAGAACGTAGAGTTATTAAATTTCGGGAGACGCGGCAAGAACGGGTCGTGCATTAAATTTGCATATATCCAGCCGAAATTTACTCGTATTATTTGCCTATCTTTTTATTTTTCGCGTCGAGGACTCGCGAGAAGAGCAAAACAGGAGACTTTTATGAGGATGTATCTTCGTGCAGAATGCATTACGTGTTATTTGCAGACATTATTAAGAGAAGTAAAAGAACAAGAAAAATTAAACGCCGCTGTTACGCGTGTATCGTTCTCCATTGTCTTTTCTCCATCGAGACGTGTGTTGCGACAATTAAACTTTTGCAGCACGCCCCGCGGAAAACGAAGTTTTAAGCGGCTTATTGTTATACAGCTCGCTTCTATCATTCTCGTCGTAATCACTCGCGCCATCCCACGCGCGCTACTTCCGATTCATTAGTTTCCGCGAGTATTCCGAACAATTAATGAACTATCCGCTTCGGGAATGCTTCGAACGGTACCGCATCGTTCCGAACGATGCGAACGGTTTGGCGTCACGATCGGCAGACACCGATCTCACCCCGTCACGGTCTAGCAACACACCATAATTCTCACTCCTAACGATGGCAATAATTCATTATGTTGCCTTCGTTGCGTGCGCTCTGCTGACAATCGGCTCTCGTCGATACCACCGGCCGGGAAGCATCGTATATCCGCGCACGAACCGCCGCCAGTATTCGAGGCACGATTCGAGCCCTATCCTGTTGCTAGAGGCGTCTTAATAAAAACTATCTCGAGAAAAATCCAAAGAACCTCCTAGCGCGCTCAAACGGACACACAAATACGTGCGCGCCACGGTAATGCAACACGAATCCTTCAGACAAAGGCTATCTCTCTGTCGGTTAAACCGTTGCTAAAGCGTACAGTCTCGCAGCCAGTAGTCCTCTCGACGAAATTGCGGTTTTCTCTCGCGAAAAAATAAATTGATCGATTCAGCAAATCTGCAGCTCTTCTTGGATAAAATTAAACGTTACAGTTGAGGGATAAAACACATTCACCGCGCTTGTATGGAAAGCTTAAATTTAAAGTTTTTAAGTTAACTCCTATGTTTTTTTTAATATTTCATTACGAGATTTAATATAAGTTTATATAATATATTAATAAAAATGTTGTGTAAACTAGAAAATGAAAAGAAAATACTGGCGGAACAGCAGCCACGAAACCTTTCTTTTATTATAGTGAGTCTAATAAGTTTTTGTAAAAATACGAAACGAATGAATACGAAACAAATGAAACGAATAAAATAGATTTTTAATTTTTAATAAATTTTTTATGTGTATTACTGTAGCTAATTTTTTAAATAATTTTTTAAACCAAAGTTATGAAGAACAGTTATTAGAAAAGTTATTAAAAAAGTTGTTTGAGAAAGCGCTTTTTATAAAATAAATTTATATTTCATATGTACTGTTTATGTTTTAGAAACTGAAATGTGCTGTTAAAAAATTTTTTATGTTTCTAACGAAATTTACTTTATTTCTCAGCAAGAGACAAAGACTTTACTGACAGTCTATTCCTGCGTTATTACGTAGTAAACATAGTAAAATTGACAAGAATTTATATAAAAAGAAAATTATAACATATATTTTTAAATAATAGGAAAAAGGGCTAATTCGAGTTCAAGCACAGGATTAATAGTGCTATGTACCATATGGGTAAAACCTTCCTTGTGTTAGGAAATAGAGCAATATTTATTGAACATGAATACTCAATATAAATAATCAAACGTTTCGGCTCAATCATGAACCCTCTTCAGTGATATAAAAAAACTCAAGATTTACAAAACAAAAGCATTACAAGTAAAAGAATTAAACTTTTGGTAGTCCTATGGGCTCCCCATTGTCCCCTATTATTGCGAATCTAGTTCTTCAGAATTTGGAAGAAAGAGCTATTAACATGATTCCGGTGACATTGCCTTTTTATTTTAGATATGTTGACGATATTCTTTTAGCAGCTCCTAAGGAGTTTTTAGATAACATATTGCGTATATTTAATTCGTTTCATCCTCGACTGTAGTTCACAATTGAAATAGGAGATAACAGTATTAACTTTTTAGACACCACTCTTTTAATACGTAATAACATAATTATTTTCGACTGGTATCATAAACCAATATTTTCTGATCAGTACCTAAACTATTTGTCTTTTCATTCTATTCAACACAAAATCGGAACAATTATTGGCTTGGTGGATAGGATGTTTTATCTTAGTCATCCGACTTTCCATAATTTTAGTTAGGTTAGGCTAATAATTTAGACTTTATCATTTTGACGCTAATTAATAATAATTATTCTTTGGACTTAATTTTTTAAATTATAAAACGTAGACTGAGGTTTCTTATTGTGAATTGCGGACGAGGTTCAGAGATAGTTAAAACAAATTTGACAGCATCTGGTTATAATAAAAAATATTTTACCATATCGTTTTTTGGTGTGGTTTCAAACAGAATGGCAAAGCTTTTTAAAAATAATTTGACAAATATTGCTTATTCTTGCAATAATAAATTATCAGAAATGATTCATGTGCATAAAGACAGGTTGCCTCCTGGTTTCCACAATAACGTTGTGTATAAATTGCAATGCAGTAGTTGTGAGGCGTCGTATGTTGGTCAAACTAGTAGAAGACTCTCTACGAGCATTGCTGAGCATAAGAGAATACCAAGGAGTTCTACAGTTGAGTTAACGACCATACAAGAACACCGTTTGAGAAAAAACCATGATTTCAATTGGGATCAAGCCAAAGTTTTGCATGAGGAACGTTATTACTTGAAACGTCTGATATCAGAAATGATTTACATTAAATTTCAAAAGCATGAACTTAACTCTCAAAAGGACACAGAATATTTGGGCAACAGCTACTGCGGCTTATTATGAAAATAAAACTTTGTTTGTTTCCTTCTCTTCCAAGAGTCGTCGCCGCAATGTTAATGCTCGTGTATATAAATCTGTTATTATCTCTTTTACTTAGACGTGGCGATGTTATCGTTGACAGGATCGTTTCACTTTTAGTCGAGCTCAACAAAGGTAATTTATATTGACCGTTTTAATTATTAATTATATTTTAATCTTACCTATTTTTATTTTATTTTATGGTTTTTTTATAGTTATGACGGCTACTTCCTAGTATTAATTTGAACTTCTTAATATTAGTCGGGTAACGGTCTTGTCAGCTATAATACTGCGAATA